TTGAAATAAACAGTTTTAAAATAAGCAGTTGCAGTTCAGAGTAAATTTGGTTATTTAAACTGAAAGAATTTTACGATTTTTTTTAAAACTACCTAAATTTCAGTATCAATATTTTAGATTTTCAATGTTTCTGCAATACACTGAAATTTGCTGAAGTCTATGCGATACGAGGGCATCTATCTGCAATAGAAGCTCGCAAGTATGAACCGGAAGTTTTGTCATTGCTGGGAGAATGCGAGGCAAGATTAGGAAGTGGTAGACGGCAGTTCTTTTTCCTATTTCGCACTCTTTCAGCAGTTTCAGAACTTTTTGATTCATGCATGGAAGCTTCTGTAGTAGAGCAGCATATCCTCGCACTGTGCAGAAAGCTTCTGTTAAATTTCAGTGCCACTAGTAACTAGTAGTTTTAAATGAAATCTATTATACTTTACCGAAAGATGTTACTTAAACTTTATAATCTTTGGTTTTTATTTCAAAAATTTAACTTACTTTAAAACAAAATTAAATAGCAAATTACTTGAAAAATAGTGAAAAATTTTATTCAGTGTTAAAGCGTTTAAAGTGCTTTGGATTTAACAATTTACTCATACATAAAGAGTCGTTTTAAGGAACAGTAATATTTATAACATATATATTTATAAAATTCTATTAATATATGTAAAAATTATACTTTCTTTAAAATCTGCCTAGAATTATCGAATTATTGTAACTTTTAAAATTTTTCTGTAACCTGTAAAATTGTTTAGAAGCTATTCAGTGGATTCGTTTATTGTGAAAATTCTAAATTATATTCATTTACTCAAACTTTGTTTCCATACTTATATGTATCATTTTACTGAATTGTCAATTTTGAAATAAATTATGCATACATCCGCTATTGTAAAAGAACCCAGATGCAAAAACTTCAAACTGCTGCCTAAAAGAAAGCTTTTTGCAAAGCATGTAAACAGATTTTTGACTGAATAATTAAAGCAATAAAATTTTAAATAATATTCATAAGGCTGTAGAACTAACATATGTCTACTGCTGTAGTTACCGAGATTTGCACCTGGACATTTGAAAATGAAATAAATTGTTATAGAAATTTTTCGGAACATATGTTGTAACAGTGCGAATTTATTAAATAAAATTTAAACTATCTCATGTACAAATGCATTGTTTTGTTAAATGTCAAACAGCTCCTGTAAATATATCTTGAATAAATTTGTAATTTTGAATTGAAATTTCTGTGTATTGCTTAATATAACTTAATAAGCAGATTTCGAATTTTTTTTTGGGGGGGGGGACTGTCAAATATTACGTAAGCGTGTTCTTGGAAATTTTGAACTCTTCCCTTTTGTCAGCAAATGAATTTTACTTCTACTTACACAAAGTCTTAAACCTTGGTTTTTTTTAAAAAACTTAGAGCTGAAATATTTTAGTAAAAAATCCGTTTAAAATCTAACCCATTAACAGAAGTGTTCAAGTCTTATCAAATTTCTAGTCTAATATTCTTTAGGAATATTTTGTTTACCCTCAGTGGTTAAATCTCTTGACCTCAAGCACCTAGAAATTTTGCCCAATTTTTAATTTCTGAAATCTTTAAATTTGAAATAAAAATGAAATTTTTTTCTTCTGTTTTTAAAGAAAAGTTTTAAAAATGTGTTTTTAATCTGTTGTGCAAGCGTTGTTCATACTCCTCACCCTTGTCTGCATAAATAATCTCAAACCCCTATCCCATTTTGCTTTTGTTATATTTGAACGACCCCCTTACGCATTCGAATAGTAAAGAAATTCGACAATTAAATTACTCTTTATATGCAACCTTCCAGAAAGCATAAAACTAATTTTGTATTAATTGTTCATTCTTTACAGCACATGCTAAAAGACTTCGTTTGGCGTGTCATGCTTTTTGGATTTTTTGCAATAAATTCTGCATTTAGTTTACAACTGATGCTTACTTTAATACATTTGAGTATTGTACGTTATCCAAAATATGGAAATATTGACAAATGTGAAAATAAGAAATTAGTTAAATTGAAACATTTATGTTCATTGATATTATTACAATATTTCGTAATACACAAGTGCATCAAAAAGGAGTATCATTTATAATAAATATACGGATATCCGTAATATTATAGTGACGTATCCGTAATGGTATAATTAATTATCTATATTATATAAAACGCTAATACGTACGTATGTATGTATGTATCAATAAAACCGATGATATTTCTTTTCTCGTGCTGGCAACAGTTTTCATTTTTAATTGATTGGATTCGGCACGCAAGAGCACGTAGTGAGCAACCAGATAACAATAACCAGAGTGAGCATTATCAGGTTGTTCAATTCAGATTCATGCACTAAAAACATGACAATATTTAATTTAAACTCAATTAGGAATTAATTAATTAATTGAAGTGAGAATGCTTTAAAAGGCCGCTGTTGAATTGATATTTTTCTACTGGGAGCTACCTAAACGTCTAAAAAACGTTTAAGTGTTTGTATTGAATGCATTGAATTTTTTTATATTTCGCGTTTATTTATGCATTGAATTTTCACGCTTTAAAATGCAGAATATTAGTGAAGCAATATTTGATAATTTATTTTGCTAATATGTTTCTTATTTAGCTAATGTTTTGATTTTTTCACCATGTACAATCTAAATAGCTAATATACTTTTTTAAAAGCCAATAAGAACATTGGTAGAATTCTTCTACATAAGTACAATACTATGTCTTTGATGATAAAATACTATGTCTTTGATGATAATATATTATGTCTTTGTGCTAGAACATTGTGTTCATTGGCGAGCGAGCGCAGCGAGCCATGGTTCACGGCGTGAACCACATAGGATTGCACAGCAATTCTCGGGGGTTGGCGAGCGTTAGCGAGCAGGGGGCGGAGCCTCCTAGTGTCACTATAATTATCTAAAATTTTCAACATCTCAATCTTTATAGATTATTTAAATCTCTAATATTATACACAGTGATAATTATTGAATACGATATTGTGAGTTTTGAATAATCTTATTAGTGGTAACTAATGTAAAATACAAAAGTGAAAATAATATGAAATAGTAAAATTGCAAAAAAATGTCCCCAAATTTTTACTATACCCTACTTTACTTACTATACCCTACTTTACTTACTATACCCTACTTTACTTACTATACCCTACTTTACTACTTTTAACCCTACTTTACTACTTTTAACCCTACTTTACTACTTTTAACCCTACTTCACTATTTAACAGAGATTATATTTTCGTCTCATATAGTACGATTTATTCCTCTCTGCATAATAGGTACAAGGTTAATTTCGTGGGTGATCAAAAAGAAAACTTATTATAGAAATATTTTTAAATTGTTTACAACAGTTCGTTACAACAGTCGTTCTTTAATAATTCATAAGCCTGTGAGTTTTTCATTAATAATTCAGTCGTTCATTAATAATTCATAAGCTTTTTAACTAAGTAAAAATGCACAAATAAAAATATTTTTAGAATTGGTTTTAGGAAAATGAGAAGCTATAGAGGCTATCAAAATTAAACATAAATGAAGAAGCTTCAAATGATTCGACAATGGAAGATCTAACATTGTTTTTGATACTATACCTACCCTCCCTACAATGCGGTGGCTTGAGTTGCCGGTAAAAAAAAATTAGCACTAAAACAATGTAAAAATTAAAAGCCACAAAAGTGATTAACTCAAAAAGTTACACGCAGAGTTAAATGAAACTGACGCGAAGCATAATGCATATATTTAAGTAGTATAGTACAGTGCCCCCCCCCCCCCNATAGTATAGTGCTCCCCCACTCTTAATAACTTTTGATCTCAATGATCGGATTTCCATGTTCTAAAACTCAATCTTAATGGCGCGAAGGGGTAACTTCAAATATGCCAATTATTAAATGTAGACGATATTTTAAGTTACGAAATCAGGCACAAAAACATACTTTCTCCGAATAAACATACCCTTTTTTTCAAGGAATCTGGATTTCTTACCTCCAAAATATAGGGGTTGCCGCAAGCTGGGAAATAGGAAATATGGTCCCAATTGTTTGGTCAGGTGAGCGCTCCAAAGCTCGGACTCCTTATCGTTGATTTTACTTTTTGCATATTTCTAATGTTGATTTTACTCATTGCGTATATCTCAAACTTTTTAAGAGAATTGGAAAAGTTTTACACTCAATTAAAGAATTCTTTTATCCAAAAATAATTCCTTTAAAAAATAACTTTTAGTAAATATTTATTTTTTTTTATGAAAGGTCTAAAAAAATTTCGAATTTCAAGGTATTTTTTTGCGTCATTTTAAGGAATTTAATTTTAAATGAAAGAATACAAAACTTGAAAGAAATCAATCGAATAGTTCCTGAGAAAACGAATTTCACAAAAGTCAGATACTTAAAATTAAATTAAATGTTTAACCAAGATTCCATACAAAGCATGATTTTTAATAATTATTTATTTTAAATATTGTCTAATTTAACTTTGATTGATGAAAAAGTTTGGTATTATATGGTGACATAATCTAAAAATTTGATGGAAATACCTCACAGTTTTTAAAAAATACTTGAATTTTGAATTATCAAAAGCTATTTGTTTGTTTTTGTAAATATGTTCAAAAAATAAATAAATAGGTGAATGGAAAATAAGTACATAAAATAAAAAGTCATTCCCAATCAAATATGTTTTTTTTGCATATATTTCTCTAAGAATTGAATATGTTACGAATTTTGCTCTCTCGACGAATCTGCAAAACAAAATAAAAATTGATTTTATATGTTTTCCTTTGAATAAGACATTTTAAATCATTAATGTGAAAAGTAACTACTGACAAATAAATAAGTTATAGTTATAGATAATTCTACTTTATCAATATTTTTCAATGACTAAAATAAGAACAAAAATTGTCTCGTAAGCTTTTTATCATTTGTTAAAGTGTATCTAAGTGATTTTAAATATTCTGTGAAGCAGCAGATGTTTCAGTTTAAATTTTAATCAGCTTTAAAAGTTTTAAAATATCAAGTTTGTCAGTTATACTCAGTTTTCTTCATCAAGGTGTTGAGAATGTGGAAAGTGTTTTTGTTGCTGTCTGTTTTGCTCCCGTTTGCAAATTGCAGTTGCAAAGGTTGCAGTGGTTATACTCAAGTGGATGCATCTGACAACGCTGTCATAGAAGCTGCTGTTCAAGCAACAAAAACATTTTCCGGACAGCATTTTTCGAAATTTCATTTGAAGGTACTCGCCATACTCGATGGAAACCAATCAGTGTGCTTGGATGAACCATTATGTGGGGTAAGATGTATTTTCAGCTTAGTTTTTTTAGATTAAGATTGATTTGAAATGAAAAAGTGGGGAGAATGTACCATTATTGAAACTGTTTATTTTAATGATATGGTTATATTGTTGTCGGGCTAACTATAATTTTTATAAGATTATGTATTTTATAACATTATAAATTTTATATTACATTTTTCAAACATTTCTCCCGAATAATTTAATCGAAATTTTCGGACAATTTTAAGGATCAGGGTCTAAATTCACCTCTTTCAACCACTCGTTAAAGTTCGGAGCGTTAGCTTAAACAGTTATGGAGAAAGAGAGACAAACACTTAAGGAAAGCTCTTCATTTTCTTATTATAGATTATATATTATCAATTGATACTGAAGTTGACTAAAGATCAGCATCTAAAAATATGCGTTTAGATCAGCATCTTCAACAGCATCTAAAAATATGCGTCGCCACTAAATCAATTTTTTTTAATTAAATCTTTTTTTTTGATCCACTACTTTTAAAATTCTTAAAATATGGGTAAATGCATCGTTTTGCAGAACTATTTGCTTACACGTTTTAAATCTATTGGAGTTGTTATAGGTATAGAAAAGTTTTGTAGATTTCTCAGATTCAGGTTAATTTTACTTAAAAATCCTTCTACGAAGTCGAGATTTTCCTTATAAACTCTAAAGTTAGCTCTTTTGCGACAGGTTGAAAATTATAAAGACCCAAAGTGCAATAAATTACCAGCAACAGAGATGAAATAAATTAAATGTTTAAAAAAATCATATAACCCACAGTGTTCAAAACTTTCCATAAATGAAACATTTCCATGCACTTGAATAATCATCAATGGTGATAAAATAAATAATATTTAAAAAAATAATTTAATCCATGGCTTCTAAAAATTTTAGAAAATTGGTAACTGCTCCGTTCTAGAACCGTTTGCTTACATGCCAAAAAAACATTGACTTCCGTGAAAATTTTCAAATGTTGGTTAGTTATATTCAAAAAAAGTTTCACGAAGGTAAGGTTTTTCTGTAAATTTTAGAGTTAGTTTCTTGAATTTAAAATTGCAAGGGCAACAATAAGTCAAAAATTGATTATCATTATTAAAAGCGACGTTAAAATGAATGATAGTGGTGAAAAAAAACCTTTGAATCAAGTGTTTAAAATCAATTTTTAAGACTCTTATTGAGAGTTTTCTACCTATATTTTATCTTTTCTTTCAACAATGTCAATTATTTTAAAGTTTGGTTCACAAATTTATACAGTTATTACCATTGATTTCATTGATTTTTTCTCTTTCGTAAGAAAACCGCATCCTATCAATTAGAAGTGTCTCTTGGATTGACGAACTGCTTAAAGACGGAGATGAGTTACGAAACAGCTCAAGATTGTGATTCGTCTGACTCATCAGTAAGTACAGCCTCTCTTAAAAGAGTATTTAATGAAATTTTCGCAACTATTTAGAATTTGGGTACATTATAAAAAAGAAGCAAATAAAGAAAATATAAGCAAGCAAAATGGATTTTTAGAATATCTTGAAAAAAATTTTATAACTTCAAAAGAACTTTTAAATATCAAAAAATATAAAAATGTCAAATGATTTGTTTTTAAAAACTTATTAAACTAAGAAAAAATGTTCTGACACGCTGTAATAAATTACTTATTCATATTCAGAAGTAAAAAATTCTTAATAAAAACATGCCTAATTTTGTTCCAAAAATTATCAGCATAACTTTTTTTTTGGTACACAGTGATACATAATATTTCAGCTCAACTGTGATGCATTATTATATGATGAGATACAAAACTAAGAATTATTAAATATCTCCCACTAGTATTTAGAAAATATGTCTTCTTATTTATATAATTTATTTTATATATATATATAT